TCAGTGAAGAGGCAGGGCCAGGAGCTATGACTGGACCCCTGCAATCACAAATAGGCGAACACACACACACACACACACACACACACACACACACACACACTGTGTACTCCTATCAACAATATTCAATACATCTATCTAAACAGGGAGATTGCCTGAGGCATGGAAGACAGCAAATGTAGTCCCAATCTTTAAAAAAGGAGACAGACATTAAGCACTAAACTACAGACCAGTGTTACTGACATGTATAGTATGCAGTCATGTAGAAGATTATCAGGAGAAGAATGGTGGAACACCTAGAAAGGAATGATCTCATCAACAGCAGCAAACATGGTTTCTGGGACGGGAAATCCTGTGTCACAAACCTACTGGAGTTCTACGACATAGTGACAGCAGTAAGACAAGAGAGAGAGGGGTGGGTGGATTGCATTTTCTTGGACTGCAAGAAGGCGTTTGACACAAGAGATTAGTGCAAAAGCTGGAGGACCAAGCAGGGATAACAGGGAAGGCACTACAGTGGATCAGGGAATACTTGTCAGGAAGACAGCAGCGAGTCATGGGACGTGGCGAAGTGTCAAGAGTGGGCACCTGTGACCAGCAGGGTCTCACAGGGGTCAGTCCTAGGACCAGTGCTGTTTCTGGTATTTGTGAACGACATGACGGAAGGAATAGACTCTGAAGTGTCCCTGTTTGCAGATGACGTGAAGTTGATGAGAAGAATTCATTCGATCGAAGACCAGGCAGAACTACAAAGGGATCTGGACAGGCTGCAGACGTGGTCCAGCAATTGGCTCCTGAAGTTCAACCCCACCAAGTGCAAAGTTATGAAGATTGGGGAAGGGCAAAGAAGATCGCAGATGGAATACAGTCTAGGGGGCCAGAGACTACAAACCTCACTCAAGGAAAAAGATCTTGGGGTGAGTATAACACCAGGCACATCTGAAGTGCACATCAACCAAATAACTGCTGCAGTATATGGGCGCCTAGCAAACCTCAGAACAGCATTCCGACCTCTTAATAAGGAATTGTTCAGGACCCTGTACACCATGTATGTTAGGCCCATATTGGAGTATGCGACACCAGTTTGGAACCCACACCTAGCCAAGCACGGAAAGAAACTAGAGAAAGTGCAAAGGTTTGCAACAAGACTAGTCCCAGAGCTAAGAGGTATGTCCTACGAGGAGAGGTTAAGGGAAATCAACCTGACGACACTGGAGGACAGGAGAGATAGTGGGGACATGATAACGACATACAAAATACTGAGAGGAATTGACAAGGTGGACAAAGACAGGATGTTCCAGAGACGGGACACAGCAACAAGGGGACACAGTTGGAAGTTGAAGACACAGATGAATCGCAGGGATGTTAGGAAGTATTTCTTCAGCCACAGAGTAGTTAGGAAGTGGAATAGTTTGGGAAGCAATGTAGTGGAGGCAGGATCCATACTTAGCTTTAAGCAGAGGTATGATAAAGCTCATGGTTCAGGGAGAGCGACCTAGTAGCGACCAGTGAAGAGGCGGGGCCAGGAGCTTTGACTCGACCCCTGCAACCTCAACTAGGTGAGTACAACTAGGCGAGTACACACACACACACAGTGAAGAGGTGGGGCCAGGAGCTGAGTCTCGACCCCTGCTACCACAATTAGGGAAGTACAATTAGGTGAGTACAGTCACTTGTAGCAGTAATAACATTACATGAATGTGAGACATGGACTTTAAACATTGTAGTGAAGAGGAAGCTAAAAGCAGTATAGATGTCATTTTTGAGAGCTGTGTCTAGTGTGAATTTATACAGAGAATTCAGAGTAGGAATATAAGACTGGGAGTTAGCAAAGGTTTAATTCAGAGGACTGAGGTGTTGAGGTGGATTGTGTAGTTAAAGAGGATGGAGCAGAATATGATGACAATGAGTATGAATCTCCTCCATGGGGAAGTGGAACAGAATTCTTCCTCCGTAAGCCATGCGTGTTGTAAGAGGCAACTAAAATGCCAGGAGCAAGGGGCTAGTAACCCCTTCTCCTGTATATATTACTAAATGTAAAAGGACAACTTTTGTTTTTCCTTTTGGGCCACCCCGCCTCGGTGGGATACGGCTGGTGTGTTGAAAGAAAGAAGAGTATGAATCTGTGGTGGAAGAAAGGAAGGAGGGGTAGGGGTCATCCTAGGAGGAGTTGGATGGAGATGATAAAGGACGTTATGAGTGTGAAGGTTTAAGCACCCAGCAAGCTTCTGTGGTTTTGTTGGATTGGAATGAATACAGACAACTGAATTTTATGGCTTGATGTGCTGTTGCAGTGTAAATGAAGTGACAGTATGGATTCAGGGCACACTGGTTAGCTGGACTCTAGTTGTGGCGGTGGTAAGTACAGTGCCTGCACACTGCAGGCACTGTACTTATCACCTGGGGTGTTATACTACAATATTTGTGTGGTATATACTCATGTATCACCTCATTGTGGGCCCCTCTGTCCATTACTCAGGTGTCACGTGACTCCACTTGAAAAGCGCCGAGGGTCATTTGAATTGTTTTGCCTACATACAGTATGCAAGACAGCTATCGAATAACTGATGGTGAATGTGTTTTGTTTGTTGGAGACAGCCAGTGTTGTAAAGAAAATTTTATTTTGGATTCCATGTTTGTGGAATCTTGAGGAACATAACTCTTGTGACTTTGGGGGCTGACTGTATTTAATGATTAATTTTGTTTACATATTTAGTGGATGCAGTACAGTGGACCCTTGGTTATCAGCTGTAATCCATTCCAGAAGGTCAGCCTAAAACCAGAATAATATTTCCCATAAGAATTAATGTAAATACAATTAATCCATTCCAGACATCCAAAAATATTAACAAAAAGATTAACTATAGTTTTACATACACAAAATGCTGAACTAGTTAAAATGACTAATGAAATGGATAAATGAATGTTTAAATCACTTTTACCTTTATTGAAGAATCTCGTCGACGTATGCAGAACAGCGAGGAACGGAGAGGGAGGCGAGTTTATTGTTAGGAGACAGGACAGAATGCTTAAATACGACACTGTTACCAACGGTTTATTTATCTATCACAGTTCATCTAATATGACATAATAAATAACATTAATAACATAGAAACATGATATATACTCTAGAATGAATAAAATGTCATTATGTAGTGGTGGTGGTGTTGGGTTTATAGGGGCCACTGACAGCATAGGCTGAAAATATAGTGGTATTGGTGGCGGCAGCAGAGGCCACCACCACTATTCACACTGAAACAATGTCTGTAATTTATAAATAAATATTTACACTATAAATAAGAAATATTTACAGTTACCTGGAGGAGATGCTGGCATTAGTTTAGGGTGGTAGAAGATATGCAGGGCGGCATATACTGTCAGTGGCCCTATGTACCTCCAACAACATTGGAGGAGTCAGTTTTGTGTTGTCCTTTTTCTATTGCTTAATTGTTTAACTTACTTGCTACACTGTTAATGCTACACTTTATCGCTGGCTGGCGCTATGGCCTTTATCGACTCCTGCTGCTTCAAAATCGTAAATATCGTAGAATCACTGAAGAAGACGCATTCTCCCTTCTCTCTTCCTCCTTCACTCTCATACTTTTCAATAACTTCTTTCTTAAATTCCATTGTTTCTCACTTTCTTTACCAAAGGGCTGGCACTAGGAACCTTCTTTGGGCTCAAAGTGGCTTATTTTGCAGTTGCACTCAATTAATAACCTCAAAAAAATAATGGATTATAGCGAAATGTTTGGATGAATGGGCAGAATCTTCCTCGCCCATCCAGAGACACAGCCAGACTGACTCACCAACGTGGCAGAGCGGCGGGTGGACATGTCTAATACGGCCGATAACTTGGATAGAATTTTGGCCAAAAAAAGCTGGCAAAAACTGAATTGGCCGTTATCTAGAATGGCTGATAATCGAGGTTCCATTGTACTAATACATCCTCCTGTAGCACATTCTATTCTTCTACTTTTGTTTGTGAGGAATAACTTCTTAATAATCTTTTTTGGCACTTTTTTGTTAGATTCTATCTGTAGCAACTTCATTTTCGTGTTGTTAAATCTTATCAGTCTTATTTTATATAACCATGTGGTTATTGTGTACTGTCTTTATCCTATCTGTCAAAACTCTGGCAGGTCTGATGCTTTCATCTGTCATTCTCTATTTTTTTTTTTTTATAGTTCTAGTAGACGCTTTGTAGCTTGTTCGTGTTTGATGAATATAGAATCACCATTTACATTTTAGTGTTTTAAAAGTACGATTTAAGATTTTAACATTGCATGTCTTTGCACTTTTTGTGGATTTCAGGCAATCATAATAAAGGAGTGCTAGTGAAAATTAGTTAAAAAAAATAGTTACCTGATCGTTCAGAGCGATGTTTTTTTTTTATGCAAGACTGAAATGAAGCAACATTGAGAAATGTAAGGCAGGCAGCCGAAACATTAAAAAGTTAAAATCTCGCTGATTATTTTAAAAATATTGTACAGTGGACCCCCGCTTAACGATCACCTCCCAATGCGACCAATTATGTAAGTGTATTTATGTAAGTGCATTTGTACGTGTATGTTTGGGGGTCTGAAATGGACTAATCTACTTCACAATATTCTGTAAGGGAACAAATTCGGTCAGTATTGGCACCTGAACATACTTCTGGAATGAAAAAATATCATTAACCGGGGGTCCACTGTATTTAATGGTAACACAGTTGACTGTAAATTAGTCATTTGGTATTTTATACTTTTTTTTATTTTATGATTTAATCATCCTGTTTGCCCATTATTTTAAGAAATGGATGTTTTATGGAACACTGTAAGTAGTCCTGAGAAGACAAAGCTATTAACATTGTAGAAAAAGTTCTCTCCTTACTTTTTCAGACTGTATAAAAAGAATGATATAAGGTCCTTTAAAAAATTCTCGTATATTTAGTAGCTTACATTGTTTCAACTTTAATATTTGAGAGTAATCTTTGATATTTATGATGTGGCTTGATCTTACAGATGCAACTTGAGTGGTGAGTGATGTAACCTAAAGGTAAACGTAGCCGCTGCGTTAGCCTCGGCTGCCTCGTCCCAAAGATGGCCACTCTCTCTCGGCCTGGCAGCCTCCGCAATCCTGAGGTGGCTGATTTATTCGAGAGAGATGACCCAGAGAGACTATTTGATGACCTACGTGAAATTGGCCATGGCAGTTTTGGGGCAGTATATTACGCACGCCATGTAGCAACAAAGGAGGTAAGTACTACTCCCTGTTCTATTGGCATTATTACACCTACTTTTTGAGTCACTAGTAACAGAAAATTAAAGGCAACTAATATATTTGGGATTTCAGTAAATTGAAAAAATGTTGAAAAAGGTTTTATCAAATGGGCAGTATAAAGGTTTTGCTCAAGATCATTTTATTATGAACATTTTATAGAGAATAATTAGCAAAGAAATTATAAGATGATGGATGTAGTGGTATGTAAGATACACAGTGAACCCTTCATAAAATAGACTAATAAAGGGAAAGGGTGTCCGCTTTAGTGAAAATCTGTTGTACTGAGAGTTACTGTCGAGCAGATGTAATCTTCTTAATTGATCGACTACTGGATGTGGGCAAACCACAATACAGCAGACTTAGTCTTTTGTATTGATAGACTGTCAGACATACCAAGAATAAATTCGAGTACCATATTACACTATAGTACTGTATGGTACAGTACACTTACACCTGTACCTGAAAAAGAGTTTAAAATACAATACAATATAGTACAGTACAGTAATTTTATATTTTCTGGTGGATAGATGAGCCTACTGATATATAGTATTATCATGTTGTCTAGTGAATACTCAGACTAATGTATCCTGAATAAGAGGAACTGTAAAACTCCAGCAGTAACATTGTAGATGGTGTGGGAGACATACAGGTAGAAGGTGTGGGAGATGTAGATGGTTCAGCAGACATAGATGGCTCAGACCTACTGGTATATTGTTTGGGAGATGCAGAATGAGGAACAGGTTTAAAGAACGAATCCAGCTTCTTGTCTTTTTTCATGCTGATACTGCTCCCTTATGACAAGTTTTCTAAAAGTTTGAAAGTTCTGATAATAGGCCTGCACATCTCTTTCTGAGAGGTCAGTGCATGCGATGAGAACCTTCATTGTATCACCATACTATTGACAGTTTTGTAACAGTATATCTTGTTAACACTATTCTATTCATCTTTGGGGGTACTATTAACTTAGTCTGCAATTTATGCATCACTCAACATCTGGTAACCAGGACCTCCATTTTCTTCCAGTCATTCGATCTCCATATAATGTTCGTTTCCCCTGCCCTCTCAAGGGTTTGATGAAAATTAGTGGCCTCAGTTTCCTTGAAGTCAGACTCTGTATTAACATTTAACAGTTTCTTCCAGTCATTAGCTAATGTTACCTTTTTCAGTTCCTTCCACAATGCTGCAATGTTGAAGATGGCAGACAGCTTCTGCAGTCTTTTGCCAAGTCTTGTTCCTCATTGATTACTACCAATACTTTATCTATGCATCTTTGACTGGTACAACCTCTTGCAGGCTGCAATAATATCCTGATCCATAGGTTGAATCAAGTGGTGATATTAGGGTGGTAGAAACATGGCCTTAATTCTATCATCACTGCTGATTAAATTTTCAGCCCCTGGATGAACAGGTACATTATGTAGCAAGAGAAGAGCCTTGACTTCTTCATGATCAAGCTTAAAGTTCTCTAGTAGGTACTTGCATACTTCAGGGATGAAATATTTAAGAAACCAGTTAGATAGTGATGCTATCTAACTGCTTACTGTCAACATTACTACAGCTAATACTGAGAAGCAGTCTTACTGAGCTTATGGTCTGGTGGCCTTTTCTCATGTGTGGTAAGGAAATTGTGGTAAGGTAGCAATTGCCAAAACAGACCAGTTTCATCAATATTATAGAATTGAGATAGAGGATATCTTCACTCTCCATCATATATAATAATTACCTGAAGGGCTCAATTTTTGCCTGTGAGTGCACTGCCAGCCTTGCCAAAGTTTGTGTTAATCAAGCTATAGCATTTATGGAAGGGCAAAAGACAACCATTACTTTCCCCAAATTCTGTGTCCATATGGTTTGCTAGATTCTTAGCAGAAGAGTGAAACTCAACACGGTGAATGTTTAGACCAGCAGCACATTGCTGACCATAGCATTTATATACTGCTGTTTCAACCCTTGTATCTAGGGCCATTTTCACATGATTCCTAGGAATAACTGATGAACCTATTAGGCTAACTATGGCTATTAGGCTAACTGATGAACCTATAAAGCTAAATGCTGTAAGCTTTTCCTTGCTCCTACAAATGTCTGACACTGTTTTGCTACACAATACTTCTAACACACCCGGGCCACTGAGATACCAGCCTCCAGTGTCCTTACTGAAGTGTCTGCTAAAGTCAAGGTCACATGCTGCTGCTTGGCACCATCACTTACTTTAGAGGCCATTGTTAATAACACTATACAGAGTATGTTAATAAAATGATTATGAACATTGTAAATGAGGGAATATTGGAGATAAAATATGTGAGCATGTGTGCAGACAATAACAAACTGATGCAGGCTGAGTCACTAGTCTTGCTGCTCAGGAACAATGATAATGGACATGTCCATGGTGATGCCCAGTTAATGAAAGTACAGTAAGTTTGAAAGCAGGATGCAAAAGAAGTAGAGTGGCTGGGATTTGAACATCAAGTCTGGCTTTGTGAACATGTTGGACGAAAGTGAGCTGAGGCAAGAGGTCTTCAGGATTTAACCTGCTGTTTTAGCATGGACAAAGAAGTATATACACAAATAACCTGCACATAGAAGAGAGGAGCTTATGACAAAACGTCGTGGTAAGCTCCTCTCTTCTATGTGCAGGTTATTTGTGTATTGTTCCAGTCACTGTATTGTGCCTTTATGTTATTTATGGACAAAGAAGTATCTAGTAGGGGAATGCCCAGGTATCAGTATCAGTAGGAATGGACTAAACTTGATAATATGTATTTGAATCAATGAAAAAGTTGGAGATATATTTATAATACTGTTACAAATGTGGTTAATAATAGAAAAAAAATAATTTAAAATGCTGCAAAAAATTTGGTAAAAACTTTAAACTGTATAAAGGAAATGTTAGTTAATAACATGCAGGGATTCGGGGCAACTGGTTAGCTGGAGGTGGGAAGTACAGTGCCTTCACTCTGAAGGAAGCCTGGGAATGTTGCATTTTAGAGGGGCATCTGAACTGTGATGTCAGCATCCTTCCAGCAAGACTGATTGAATGAATAACAGTGTAAGTGTTGCTTTCTTTGTCGAGTCACCCTACCTCGGTGGGAGACGGCCAAAGTATAAAAAAAAAATGGGGAGAGGTGGTGGTTCAAGTTCTTAGCTATAATTTTTAAGAACTTCAGTTTCCAGTATGTATTGCAATAATATACTTTTTTGTTTGCAAAATGTTTTAATTTGAGGGACTGATTACCTCATTCTCCTCCTATTCTTCAAGATTCTCCTTTGTATGGACCGATGAAGCCACTGTGTGGCGAAACGTTGGAAGTTTTAGTTTTATGTTTAATAAAGCTAAAGGTAGTAGGTTGGTAGACAGCAACCACCCAGGGAGGTACTGCCTTCCTGCTAAGTGAGTGTAAAACAAAAGCCTGTAATTGTTTTACATGATGGTAGGATTGCTGGTGTCTTCTGTCTCTCATAAATATGCAAGATTACAGGTACGTCTTGCTACTTCTACTTACACTTAGGTCACACTACACATACATGTACATGTTTATTTATACACACTCATCTGAGTTTTCTTTGATTTTATCTTAATAGTTCTTGGTCTTATTACTTTTCCTTTTATATCCATGGGGAAGTGGAATAAGAATCTTTCCTCCGTAAGCCATGCGTGTTGTAAAAGTCAACTAAAATGCCGGGAACAATGGGTTAGTAACCCCTTTTCCTGTAATAATTACTAAAAAGAATAAGAAGAAAATTGTCAAAGTGGGAAGTCTGAATGTGTGTGAATGTTGTGCAAATGATAAGAAAGAGATGATTGTGGATGTTACGAATAAGAAGCTGGATGTCCTGGCTTTAAGTGAAGCAAAACTGAAGGGGGTGGGAGAGTTTCAGTGGAGAGGAATAAATGGGATTAGGTCAGGGGTTTCACATAGTTAGAGTTAAAGAAGGAGTAGCAATAATGTTGAAGGGTAAGCTATGGCAGGAAAAGAGGGACTATAAATGTATTAATTCAAGGATTGTGGAGCAAAATAAAGGTTGGATGTGAAAAGTGGGTTATAATAAGTGTATATGCACCTGGAGAAGAGAGAAGTGTAGAGGAGAGAGAGAGAGAGAGAGAGAGAGATTTTGGGAAATGTTGAGTGAATGCATGGGGAGTTTTGAACCAAGTGTGAGAGTAATGGTGGTTGGGGATCTTAATGCTAAAGTGGGCAAAAATGTTGTGGAGGGAGTAGTAGGTAAATTTGGGGTGCCAGGGATAAATGAAAATGGGGAGCCTTTAATTGAGCTATGTGTAGGAAGAGGTTTGGTAATAAGTAATACATATTTTATGAAGAAGAGGATAAATAAATATACAAGGTATGATATAGCACATAATGAAAGTAGTTTGTTAGATTATGTATTGGTGGATAAGAGGTTGATGGGTAGGCTCCAGGATGTACACGTTTATAGAGAGGCAACTGATATATCGGATCATTATTTAGTTGTAGCTACAGTGAGAGTAAGAGGTAGATGGGAAAAGAGGAAAATGGCAACAAGAAAGAGGGAGGTGAAAGTGTATAAACTAAGGGAGGAGGAAGTTTGGGTGAGATATAAGCAACTATTGGCAGAAAGGTGGGCTGGTGCAAGTATGAGTAGGGGGGAGGGGTTGAAGAGGGTTGGAATAGTTTTAAAAATGCAGTATTAGAATGTGGGGCAGAAGTTTGTGGTTATAGGAGGGTGGGTGCAGGAGGAAAGAGGAGTGATTGGTGGAATGGTGAAGTAAAGGGTGTGATAAAAGAGAAAAAGTTAGCTTATGAGAGGTTTTTACAAACCAGAAGTGTTATAAGAAGAGTAGAATATATGGAGAGTAAAAGAAAGGTGAAGAGAGTGGTAAGAGTGCAAAATGAGAGCAGATGATCTAGTGGGAGAGGCACTGTCAAGAAAATTTAATGAAAATAAGAAAAAATTTTGGAGTGAGTTAACCCTTAACCCTTTCAGGGTCGACAGGCCC